TGAAAGGCAATACCGCCATTTTCGATCTCAGCACCAGCTCTTTTCGCTATTGCGGCAACTGCATCTCGTCCAAACCACCTTGTATGTCTTCTTTTCGTCGTCATCTCGCACACACACCTTTTTTAGGGGTCCGGGAACTTCTCCCCTAACACGGCGTCGCACACGCCGCACCCGCCGCCATCCGCAGAATTGCGATGGAAGTTGGAGCGCGCAATTTGTGAGGTAGGGAGCCCTTTAATTATTTGAATTGGCTGACCGCTTCCTTCAATTTCAATGCAGTCTTGATCGCCGCTTATATAGGAGGAGTCATCTTAATTAATCAAGTCTAATAAACATGAAAACTAAAAAGAAACAGAAGGAAAAACGACAAAACCGAATGAAAAAGCAAGCCAGTCAAGGAAAAATATCGCGTCCTATCGATTGGCGGGAGGCGGGGTGAGTACGGTAATTGCAGTGACATTTGCCGCATGCCGCAAGGTAGAATGCCGCGATAGGGGAGAAGTTCCGTTACCCCTTTTTTAGTTTCACACATGAAAAAGTAACTCAGTTGAGATATGATAACTTTGAATGCGACCTCAGAGCCGAGAATCGCTCAAGATAATGCACCATTACTCAGATGGAGCTGGGTTATCAATCCTTCCAAAGAATTTAACCCAAATGGACTCGAAATTCGGCTAAAAGTTCCTTCAAATACACTTGCAAGACAAATTCCCTTTCTAGGTGTGTTCTAGTTTTATCCTCGTCTTAGGCGATGATCCTTATTCGCCCCATCGAAGGACCACCACAATTTCACTTGTCATCTAATCAACTCGCAGCAGGGAAATTTCGCTGTAAACCAACCACTGCAAACAAATTCCTACATTATGATCAACCACCACTTATACTTCGCTTTACTAGCTGCATTTTCTTCATACAGATATCGCATAGCACATGAAAAACCCACAGAAAGAAAGTGATCACAGTAACAAGAAACAAAATAAATTAACGTTCACAAGAAAAATGTGAAAGGATGAAACAAAAGTTGGGGAAAAGATGAGAACCCATACACCCTGATATCATGTATGTATATAGACACTACCACAATGAACAAATGCTCGCATATATGAATTCGCTAATTCTAATAACTATATTTCCACATACTTCCTTCATTAATTCAGAGAATCTTCATGAAAATCACAAATTTCGTAGCAAAGGCACAATCTTATGGTCCCTAAGGTTACAGCTCAATGAGAATGTCCATGACCATGACCGTTATGAGAGTGCCCATGACCATGATTCGAATGTGATTTACGCTCACGAGCAATAGTCGTCCCTCGAACCACCTAGGACAAGATTCATTTTCAAGAGATATAGCACTACGAATTTTTGGAACAGAAAATATATTGTGAAAGACTACTATTTTACTCTCCTACAACATGCCCAATTCAAAAACTTTCGAAAAACAAAAGTATGAATTGCTTACGTTATGTCCAAATCTATAAGAAGGGCACAGCTGTTGAATTCGTTGAGTGAAAAAGTCCTTTTCTACTTGGACAGAACACTGAGTGGCACCAGCTGCTCTCAACTGTGCTGATACCTAAAAAAGAGCAAGTCTATTTAATGGACACTGTTGACTTTCCTAATTACCTTCGAAATCAAAACAAGAGAGAAAAAGTTACGACAATTCTTCACGAAGAAAAAATAACACTGAAGTTAGTATATCAAGCCAAACCTTATGACGTATGAGCTGCGCGTTAGCCTCGGGTGTTGCTTGTATGTGTACAGATGCAACATTCAGATCACTTTTTAGTTGCCAGTAATGAGCTTTCGAATAGGATTTGACTCCGTCAATCTTAATTACAGAATGGAAGATGAGCTTCATTTCTCTTACAACTATCAAATACCAAATATAAGAGCTCCATTATATTAGGTTGTCGGAAAAGTATTTGCGCCTTTTGCAATTTTTTTTTGAATTTATTTTTTTCCTTCACAATAACTAACAATTAACAAATATATGCACCATCATTATCGACAAGGTATTGCCGTTCACCAGGCAACTTGTGGTTCCTGCTTGCGTAGAATTCCTGAGGTTTCGAGGAGGAAAACTCGTCAATGTACGTTTCGAGTTGATTCACATAATTGAACTTCTTATTTTTCGGATGGTCCGACAGCGACAGGAGCAGATGATAATCCGTTGGAGTTAGGTCTGGTGAATACGGTGGGGGCCATAA